CCTGTTGGCCATTTGTATGTCTTCACTGGAGAATTGCTTGTTTAAGTCTTCTGTCCATTTTTGGATTGGGTTGTTTGTTTCTTTGTTATTAAGTTGTATGAACTATTTATATATTCTGGAAATTAAGCCTTTGTCAGTAACATTTGCAAATATTTTCTCCAGTCCATAGGTTGTTTGGTTTTACTTATGGTTTCCTTTGCTGTGCAAAAGCTTCACCCTGAACCAAAACCAGATAAAGACACTACCAAAAAAGAAAATTACAGGCCAATGTCACTGGTGAACGTAGATGCAAAAATCCTCAATAAAATATTAGTAAACAGAATCCAAGAGCACATAAAAAAGATTATCATACACCATGATCAAGTTGGATTCATCCCAGGGACACAAAGATGGTGTGAATGAGTCAATGTTATACACCACATCAACAAAAGAAAAGACAGAAATCACATGATCATCTCAATAGATACAGAAAAAGCATTTGATAAAATTCAACACCTATTTATGATAAAAACTCTTACCAAAGTGGGTACAGAGGGAACATATCTCAATATAATGAAAACACCATGCTGTTCTGATTGGTATAGTTTTATAATAATACTTGAAATCAGGTAGCGTTAGCCCTCTAATTCCCCCACCCCCTAGAGTTGTCTTGGCTTTTCTAGGCCCTTTGCATTTCCATATGAATTTTAAAATCAGTTTGTCAGTTTCTACCAAAAATAAATCTTGGATTTTGATTGAGATTGTGTTGAATCTATAGATAATTTGGGGAGAACTGATGTCTTAATGATACTGAGTCTTGCAACCCAGAAACATTTATTTACTTAGCTCTTCTTTAATTTTTCTCAGTTATAGTTTTCAGTGTATAAGTCTTTCACATTTTTTGTCAGATCTATCATGAAGTATTTCGTATTTTTGATGCTATTGTAAATGATTTTTTAAAAATTTCAATTTCTGATTTTTTTGTTGTTCTTGCTAGTATATGGAAATGCAGTTGATTTTTGGATATAAATCTTATACCCACTTATTAATTCCATTGGATTTTTTTACATGGCGATCATGTCATCTTCAAACAAAGACAGTTTGACTTCTTCCTTTAAATCTGAATGTCTTTTATTTCTCTTTCTTGCCTAATTACACTGGCTAGAACCTCCAGAACAATGTTGTATAGAAGTGATGAGAGTGGACAGTCCCTCATCTTAGAGAGAAAACATTTAGTCTTTCACCATCGAGTATGATGTTACTGTACCTTTTTTCATAGTTTCCCTTCTCTTCCTAATTTGTTGAGAATTTTTATTGGGAATGGATTTTGGAGTTTGTCAGTTTGTTTTTTTCTCTCTAGCTAGATGATCATGGCTTTTCCTTTTTATTTTGTTAATATGGTGAATAACATTGTTTGACTTTTGAATGTTAAACCAAATCTGCATTCCTGGGTTACACCCTACTTGATAATAGTGTATTATCTTTTTAATATATGGTTTGATTAGATTTGTTGAAAATTTTGTTTAGAATTTACATCTGTGTTCTAAGAGATACTGGCTTGTACTTTTCTTGTGATATCTTTGACTAGTTTGTTTTCAGGGAAATGCTGACCTCATAGAATCAGTTGGGAAGTAGACTCTTCAATTTTGGGGGGGAGTGTTTATGTAGAATTGATATTATTTCTTCCTTAAATGTTTGGTAGCATTTGCTAGTGAATCTGTCTGGTTCTGGACTTTTCATTGTGGAAAGTTTCTTAACAACAGTTTCAACATTGAATATGGGGCTATTTAGTTTCTTTTTCCCTTTCTTGAGAAGGTTTTATATGTGTTTCAACAAAGTTTTCATCTTTCAACAAATTTGTCATTTCATCTAAGTTGTCTAATTTATTGGCATAAAATTACTCTTAGTACTCTCCTATTATCCTTTTAATATCTATAGAATCTGTGATGATTTCATCGCTCTTATTTTTTTATCTTAAAATTTGTATCTTCTCTTTTTTTTCATGATCAGATAGGCTCAAGGTTTATCAATTTTATTGATCTCAAAGACATAGCTTTTGGTTTCATTAAGTTTTTTCTATTCTGTTTTATAGGTCATTGATTTCTGCTTCAATCTTTATTATTTCTTTTCTTCTGCTTATTTTAGGCTTAATTTCCTCTTTTTTTAGTTTCTTAAGGTAGAAGATTAGGACACTGATTTGATAACTTCCTTCTTTTCTTATATAGGAATTTAGTGCTATAAATTTCATTCTAGATACTCTTCAGCAGCATTCAAGAAATTCATTTTCATTTGGCTCAAAATACCTTCTAATTTCTCCTTTGTTTTCTTTTTCTAATTTCTCTTTGTGTTTTTAATCTATTTGTTTTTTTCTAAATTTAAAGTGCATCTCTTGTCAACAAAATATAGTTGGATCTTCACTGTTGTCAAATCTGACAATCTTTTCTTTTCATTGGAGTATTTAGACCATTGAATTTTAATGTGATTATTGGTAAGATTTGATTTGGGTGTATTATCTTGCTGTTTGTTCTCTATTTGTCCTATCTGTTTATTTTTATAGAGCAGTTTTAGGTTCTCAGCAAAACTGAGAGGAAGGGAGAACAATTTCCCATATATACTCCCTGCCCCCTGACATTCAGAGCCTGCTCCATTATCAACATATTCCACAAGTGTGGTATCTTTGTTAACAAATTGTGAACCTCCATTGATACCTTATTACCACCTAAAGTTTATAGTTTACATTAGGGTTCACTCTTAATATTGTACATTTATGGGTTTGGACAAATGTATAAGGACCTGTATCCATCATTACACTATTATACAGAATAGTTTTACTACCCTAAAAGTCCTTTATGAGCATCCTTCTTTCTCTCTCTACAACCCCAACTTCTGGCAACCACTGATCTTTCACTGTCTCCATTGTTTTACTATTATCAGAATGTCACAGAGTTGGAATAATATGTATTGCTTCCTTTTCAGATTGGCTTCTTTCACTTAGTAATATTTATTGAAGTTCCATGTCTGTTCATGGCTTGATCACTCATTTCTTTTTAGTACTGAATAGTATTTCATTGTCTAGATATTCAGGTTTATCCATTCACCTGATGAAGGACATCCCGGTTTCTTCCAAGATTTGGCAGTTATAAATAAAGCTGCTGTAAACATCCATGTGCAGGTTGTGTGTGTGGGCATAAGTTTTCAACTCCTCTGGGTAAATACCAAGGAGTATGTTTGCTGTATTGTATAGTATTGGATTTTGTCAAAATATTTTTTCTGTATATGTTTATAGGATCTTGTGGGGTTTTTTCTTATTTCTTATTTTGCTTGTTGCTGTGATTGATTATATTAATTGATGTTTTTCACGTTGAACCAGCCTTACATTGTTGGGATAAGTCTCACTTGGCTGTGGTATGTAATGTATATCCATTGTTGGATTTGACTAGCTAATATTTTTTTAGCATTTTTACCTCTATGTCCATGAGAAATATCTTTAGTTTTCTTTTAATATCTATGTCTGGTTTTGGTGTTAGAGTAGTGCTGATCCCATAAAATGAGGTAAGAAGTATTCCTTCTGTTTCTATCCACTGAAAGACATTATAGAGAACTGGTAAGCCCGTCTGGGCCTGGTGCTTTCTGTTTTGGAAGATTAGTGGTTATTCCATTTCTTTAACATATAGGCTTATTCTCCACTTTGTGTTTTATCTCAGAAATTATAGTTTTCATCTTGAGAAGCTGATTTCTATCTTTTTTATGTCATAACTTTTTGAACATAGAAGTCATAGTTTTAATAATTGTTTTAATGTCCTTCTGTGCTAATTCTAGTAACCGTTAGTTCTAGGTTGGTTTTGATTGAGTGATATTCTCTTCATTATAATTTGTATTTTCTTGTTCTTTGCATACTTGGTAATCTTTGATTAACTGTCCAACATTGTGACTTTACCTCATTAGTTGCTGGATATCTTTGTATTCTTATACATTTTTCTGGGCTTTGTTTCGGGATGCAGTTAAGTTATTTGGGGCTTTGATTTTACAATGTTGGGTGTGTCTGGAGCGTTGTGCAGTCTAGGGCTAGCTATTATCCCCCACTACTGAGGTAGAATCTTCCTGAGTCCTCTTCTCTGCATTATGAGTTCTTCAAGACTTGACTGGTGGGAACAAGTCCTATTCTGTGCTCTGTATGAGCACAGGACACTGTTCCACATTACTCTTTTGCATGGTTCTGTCCCCAGCCTCAAGTCATTTCCTCACATACAGGCACAGTCTTCTGCTGTGTATTAGAGGGGTTGAACACAGGACCTCGTGCAGGCTAAGCAGGCGCTCTACCGCTTGAGCTATGACCTCTCCCCTCTCTAGGAGACGCTCTGTAAATCTCTTGGGTTATCTCTCTGAGCAGCTCTCTCCTCTCTGGTATTCTGTCTTAGGAACTCTAATTGCTTTTGTATCCCTGGACTTTCAGCTTCATCTCCTCAACTCAGGGATACTGCCAGGCTCCACTCTCCTGCCCTATGCCACTGCCTGGAAGCTTCCAAGGCAGTAAGCTTGGGCAGTTAGAGGGCTCACTTCATTTGTTTTTCATCTGTCAAGGATGACTGTTTTTCATTGCCTGATACCCAGTGTCTTGAAAACCACTGTTTTTTTGTATTTGGTCTGGTTGGTTTCCAGGTTTATTTATTTATTTATTTGGTTGTTTACAGTGAGAGGGCAAATCCAGTCCCTGTTAGTACGTTTTAGCCAAAAGCAGAAGTCTTGTCTACTTGTAGTTTTAACCTAGAGAAAGTTCTTGTACTTGGGTTCTTACAGAAAAACTCTTAATAATAACCACCGATCACTTCCGTTAGAGAGGCTATGTATATGCATGAGCTATATGATAAACTCAAATCAGCCAGTGGGAAGTTTTGAGGCTATTCTAGGTAGTGATAAACTGCTTTCTTGACTTCCTTGTTTCTGGGGATTTTTTGAGTTATTTGGATCTAGAAACTAATTCTAAATAATGATTTTGTGAAATTCCTAAATTTTGTTCTCAGAATTAAGAAAAAGAAAGAACAGCAACGTTATGCTGAAGAGCAGAGGATATTGAGAATGAACTTTCCTGAAGAGCCATGTTCAGGGGAGAAGATGAGTGAGATATTAGCCCAGCTACAGCTTGAGGAAGTAAAAGGAGCCAGAGAAAAACAACAGAGAGAAAAGGAACACCAAAGGTACTTCGGAAAGTTGTGCTTGAAATTCTGGCTCTAGGGACTTGTTAGGAAGTCAGCATTCTCATTTTCCTTAAAAAAGAGTTGACCATGTCTTCTCATTCTTTTGAGGGTACAGAACTTCATCAGATTTCTGGATTGCCTAATACCTCTTGGGAATAGCGCTACATTTTCTGCAGTGCTGCTTCCCAGTGCAAAGAGGAAGAGTTGAGGCATAGAGATATATGAAATAGCTTTCACACTTAAAGCTGGTAGTAAAATGAGGACCCATGCTCATTCTTTTCCTTTGCCTGATCGTACTGTATTTTTATAGATACGTAGAAGCTTTAAGAGCCCAGATCCAGGAGAAGATGCAGTTGTATAATATTACTTTACCTCCACTGTGCTGCTGTGGTCCTGAATTTTGGGATGCTCATCCTGATACCTGTGCCAACAATTGTATTTTCTATAAAAACCACAGAGGTAAGTTTCTTAAAGGAATGGTGGGGCCTGGTGGCAATTATTAAACAACAACAAGAAAAGTAGTGGTGTTGGTAATTTAGCATTCATTGATTGAATGTTTGCTGTATATCAGTGACTGTTATACCACCTCTACAGAACAATTCTGAGACAATGAAAATAATTATAGTGAGTTCTCTTTCTCTTTGAGGCCTGTTATCTTCTTGTCTCCATCTGTGCTGGGGAAATATTTCTGACTCATTCCACAATAGGGGGACTTGGGTTTCAGGTCCTCCTGTCAATGAAGAATATTAGAGCTTGCCTTTTATGGCCACCTAAGGTAGGCCCCTGTCCAGTTGATCTCCTTGTTATCCAAACGCTTTACTGTTATCTATTATAGACTTATTATTTATATTCACATATATATTATTTATAATGTATATATACCCACGTTAGCCTGCCAGTTCTGCCAGGGGACACTGAGAAAAAAGAGGACCAGTATAAACTCAGTCTTTATCAGGAATCCCAACTAGAGAAAAATGGAGTCCTTCCTGCTGTTACTAATATTTATGTTTCCTGTCCAACCTTAAATATATTGATTTACATAGTTTAGAGATTATACAGGCTTCATACCCACGCTGAAAATGCTGCCAATATTTGTATTGCTGGTTTCCCATTTGTGTGCTATGACCTTCTTATCGGTCCTGTGGGTTATATTTTAAAAACACAAATCTGATGATGCCATTCCCCTATCATAAAACCTGTAGGACTTACCTTTGCAGTACAAAATACATGGCATATTTGGCATATTTGCTCTCTGGCCCCAGGCAATGCTCCAGCCTTATTGAACTTTCTGTTGCCAGTACATGCCACATTTTTCAGTGCCTTTTATACCCTACACACTCATTTCTTTGCCTAGAATGCCTTCTTCCCTTTACTTTTATTAATCCTTCAAGACCATCCTATATGTTACCACCTCTAGATACCTTTTCCGTCCTCTCCTAGACAGTTTTTCTTTTATTCTACACTTCATTCCGTGATGACATTTTATATAAGTCTCTGGTTTGGAAACATTACACTGCAATTTAATTTTTTGTGCCCATCCTTTCCATTACTTTCTCTGTAATTACAGAGTACTTGGCAAGTGGTAGATACTCAATAAATATTTATTCAGTGGATTGTTAAAGTTAATACTTATGTGATTAGGCAGAGAAGTAGTACTAGGAAAGAGGTTGGGAGAATTGTTTAGAATCTGACTTCATTCAAAACTTTTATTTGCAGCGTACAACCGGGCACTACATTCAGTCATCAATTCCTGTGATATCCCTGAAGGGAACTCAACTCTTCGAACTGCCATTCATAATTTTGCTTCTGCACACAGACGGACTTTGAAAAATCTGTAATAAAAATCTGATCAACTGTTAGTGATTCAGCCTTTGCTTGAAATCAACCCTGAGAGATTATTTAGGAAATGCTGTGAAAGCTAATAAGATGTGTAATCTGGAAAGACTGTGCCATGTAACAGCTGTCTCTAACTACATCATAATCATTGTTTCACTCTGTGCCTGGGACCAAGGTTGAAAGTTGGCTTCCAAACTTGTCTCTTTACTGTGAACCATATGGAACATATTGTTTTAAAAAAGATCCATCAGACTGGTAAGGTTTCTCTCACTTTGCTCTTCTCTGATCAGAAGAGATCATTAGAAATCTTTGAGATTATCTCATTTGTTCTGTTTCTAAAACTTTATCTTTGAGTCTTGACAGAATTGAAAATATCTGGATGAAGCAGAAAAGAAGATGAAATGGGTTCCTGAGCATTGGTGGCCGTCCTTAATGCTGTTAGCTTTTCTAGTTGTGTGTAACAGAGACGAGAACAATCTGAATTTGATGCGTGTTTTTTCCCTCAAAACTTTTTATCTCCCATTTTTAATTTATTACCTCTTTCCCCATTCAGTGACAACAGACATAGAACTTTTTGGTTTTATAATTTTTATTGCCCCTAAAAAGGGCAAATAAACCCATTGCCTTTCGGGGAGTATCTTCTATGTGAAATCATTGTGAGTGATATTTCAAAAAGTAAATTGGAATCAGAGTGTGTAAAGTTCTATCTTATTTCCCTTTCTTTTAGAAATCTGATGAGTCCATACCTACAGAGCACTTGAAATAAAAATTGCTATAGTTAGTATGGACTTGTTACTTCTTCACAGTATTTCTTGACACAAAATATGAAAAAGCTTAATATTGTGAACTAAAGATAGATGCTGACATTTTCTTTTTCCCACTTCCTCTAACAGTCAGTTGAAGAAGCAATTAGGTTATGTCTCAAAAAAGTCCTAAACATTAGCCAGGTCATTGAAAATAAGAGTCAAAATTGCCTGTTTGTCAAGATTGACTGGTTATTGAACTAGATTAATTATCAAGTTCAGTCAAAATCCTTATGTAACTATATCCTTGATTCAGCCTTTAAGAGTTGTGTTTTTAACAGCTTTACTGAGATATAATTCATATACCATTTGATTCACCCATTTGAAGTGTACCTTTCATTGTTTTTTGGTATATTCTAGAATTGTACAACCATCACCACTATCAAATTTTAGAACACTTTTGTCACTCTAAAGTCATACCCCTATGATCCAGCAATTCCACTTCTGGGTATATATCCAAAATAATTGAAAGCAGGATCTTCAATAGATATCTGCACACTTAATGTTCATAGTGGCATTATTCACAATAGCCAAGAGGTGGAAGCAATCCAAGTGTCTATCAACAGATGAATGGATAAACAAAATGTGGTATATTCATACAGTGGAATATTATTCAGCCCTAAAGAGGAAGGCAGTCCTGTTGCATGCTATGATGTGGATTAACCTTAAGGACATTATGCTAAGTGAAGTAAGCCAGTCACAAAAAAAGACAAATACTTGTATGATTTCACTCATTTGAGGAACCTAGAGTAGTCAAATTCAGAAAATAAGACAGAAAAGTAAGATGATAGTTGCTAGGGCCTGGGGGGAGTGGTGAATGGGAAGTTGTTTAATGCGTAGAGTTTCAGTTCTGCAAGATGAAAGAGTTCCAGAGATCTGTTTCACAACAATGTGATTATATTTAACACTACTGAACAATAAACTTAAAAATGGTTACAGTGGTAAATTTTAGATTATGTGGGGTTTTTTTAACCACAATTAAAATTTTTTTAATTTACAAAAAGAAAATCTCAAACCATTTGCAATCATTTCCCAACCAACTTTGACAATTACCAACCAACTTTCTGTCTCTCTAGATTTGCCTACTTTGGCCGTATCATATAAATGGAATCGTATGACTGGAGTCTTTCATTTAGTACAATGTTTTTAAGATTTATCCATGTTATAGCATGTATCAGTACTTCATTGCTTTTTTAAAAAATTTTTTATTTTTTAAAATAATTTTTTAAAATTGAAGTATAGTCAGTTTACAATGTTGTATCAGTTTCTGGTGTGCAACATAATGTTTCAGTTACACATAAACATACATATATTTGTTTTCATTTCTTTTTCATTAGAGGTTACTATAAGATATTGAATATAGTTCCATTATAAACTTGTTATTTATCTATTTTATATATAGTAGTTAGTATATGCAAATCTCAGAACTCCCAATTCACCCCTTCCCACCTGCTTCCCTCCCTGGTAACCATAAGTTTGTTTTCTATGTCTGCAAGTCTGTTTCTGTTTTGTAAATAAGTTTGTGTCTTTTTTTTTTAGATTCCACATATAAATGATATCATATGGTATTTTTCTTTCTCTTTCTGGCTTACTTCATTTAGAATGATGATCTCCAGGTCCATCCATGTTGCTGTAAATGGCATTATTTTATTCTTTTTATGGGTGAGTAGTAGTCCATTGTATTAATATACCACAGCTTCTTTATCCAGTCATCTGTTGATGGACATTTAGGTTGTTTCCTTGTCGTGGCTATTGTAAATAGTGCTGCTATGAACGTTGGGGTACATGTATCTTTTGAATTAGAGTTTTCTCCAGATATATGCCCAGGAGTGGGATTGCTGGATCATGTGGTAAGACTATTTTTAATTTTCCACATACTGTTTTCCACAATGGCTGCACCAAACTGCATTCCCATCAACATTGTAGGAGGGTTCCCTTTTCTCCATACCCTCTCCAGTATTTATCATTTGTGAACTTTTTAATGAT